GGCCAGGGACCAAACCACAGTACCTGGGGAAACCACTGCTTCCATTCTCTTCCATGTGCTGGGACTCCCTCAGTTACTCCCTCTCTCTTCTTTATAGCATAAGTGCAGTGAGTTTAGCTTTTCTTAAACATGAGGAAGAGAAGCTGCCCTCCAGAAACTCAGAGTCCTGCTAAATGGACGAGAGACTGGGGAGAATAAAAATTGTGTGGAAAACAAGACAAAATATCTTTCATCTTTTCCAAAACTTTCAAGACAGCAAGGACAAATTCAAACTGATATCTACAAAAGTTATCCTGCCGCAGTGGGCCCCCCCAAAACCCTCCACACCTGGGGGGCCCTGGACAGCATTGTTCTCTACAGCTCTGAGGAGCTCTGAACTGCAAGGCATTATGCCAAACCCTGGGGCCACAGAGGGGACAAGATCTTCTCCCAATGAATTTACTGCCTAAGGAGCAGCAGCCATGCCCACAGCTATGATACTTGGACTAGGTGTTACAATGGAGGAAGGTATAGGTGAGATGAGTGTACCGTCTGGAGCCATCCATCAGGGAACAGTAGAAATGGAGGATATAATACTTGGACTATGTACGATGTCAAATACCAACACGAATGGCTCAGCAGGCTTGGGAGAGCAGAATTGTTCAGAGCAGACGCGACAGCATAGGTAAAGCTATCAAACAAGAGAGGGCCTACTTTATAATGGGAATAAGAGGTATCAGTGGTCAGCTTCCCTAGGAAACAGACTATGAGTCAGAGATTTGCATGCAGGAAGCTTACTGAGGATATTCAATAAGGGAACGACACTTGTGAGGGAATATGGAAGCAGGATTGGACGGAAGGAGAAGTTAAACTGCAAGGCAGTTGAAGCCGAGGCCTCAGCAGACCCCATGGGGAGCTCTAGAGCTGGGATGGCTCTGCAGAGGAAGGGGCCTCAAACTAGGCAAGGGAGCCAGCCCTTTCTAGGCCCTCAACCATCAATCATAGGATGAGGCTGCTCAGGAGAGGCAATTCCCTTTGGCTGAAGAAAACGCCTGGGGGTTGGGGGGTGCCTCAGCTGTGAGCCCTTAGCAGGCAATACTCCTAGAACCTGGGGGAATGAGTATCTCCATGTGAAGGAGGGGATCCAGGCAGTGGCCCATTGCATCTGCTGCAGCAGCCGTAGTCCAGCTTGCTGTATCATGTCTGGTGGGGCAAGACAGGACAAAGTATTAGTTAGGGTATGCTAAGCAATGCTGCAGTAACAGAAACTCCCAGATCTCGTGATGTAATAAATTTTTTTCTTTTGCACAGAACTCTCCTTTGAAGTTGGGCAGCTACTTGTGCTAGTTTTGGGATTTGTGTTCCTTCAATCTTCCAGAGTTGTAGTGTAAAGAAAAGAGGGAGAATGGAGGATCACGCAAGGGGTTATGGCCTAGTCTACAAGTTGTAGACCTTGCTTCCTCTTACATTCCGCTGGTAAGACCCAGTCTCATGGACACAACTTAATTGCAAGAGACACTGGGAAATAGACTCTTCTGCAAGCCCAGGGAAAGGCAATAGGGTTGGTAGCATCTACTCGATCTCTGGCTCAGGCATGCTTGCTTGATGTCTAGTATAGAGCAGGGTCATTGGGCAGCATACACTTGCTAGCATCCAGTATTGAAGAGAAAAATTAAGAATTTTTCCTTTGGTTATAAAAATTAAAATTTAAAGATCTTCAAAATTTGTATTTTCTTCAGCAACACTAAAATTGCTCTAAAGTTATAGAAGTCTTCCTAAAAATGAAAAAGCTCATCAAGCAAACAGTGCAAATTATTTATTGAAATGAGGAAAGCAATGTTTTTTAAGCAATGACCAAGGCCCCCTTCCTGGCTGATATTTCGATAGTTGTGTGCAGAACATCTGTCAACCCAGTACAGCAGAGAGGCAGGAAAGATGCCAGGGAGGGATCTGGGGAGGAGGGGAATTTATCCACAGACTCTCAAGCCTTTCCAAGAGTTGTTTGAACGTTATTCTGAGGGCAATGGGAAGACTCTGAAGGTTCAAGCAGGATGGTAAGCCGACACCTCCTATTGGGAATATGGTCACCCTTCGCAGTAGACAGCACCTGGTGACAGTCTGATCAATCATGCCATCAGGATGTGTGTTTGCCGGAAATTTATTTGTAGTTTAAATCAAGATTATCAGGTATGTCACTATTTATAATGATTCAACTTAATTCAAAGGAAAATTCCTTTTGCATAACTCTCTTACTTGACCCACTTCTAGAATTAGATTTGATCAAACGAAGTCAGCTCTTTTCAAGAGAGAACTTTGAAAGTACCTGCCTAGCGTGCAGCCCTTCTATCAACCCCCTCCCTTCACTGGTAGATGGAGCTATATGTTTCGTGAGCTCTCTAGGACAGCCTTTAGGAATCTATTATCCTATTGAAACCCAGGAGTACAAGGCTCTTTAAAAGTGACCTTATGGCAAAGGAGAAGCCAGGTGAGCTTGTGCCCAGATTGGAGGAAGCAGTGATTCCTGAGTCATGACGGAGGCCAAGTCCTCTGTGATGGGCTTTCTCCTGCTCATCAGACTTAGCCAGAAATGAACATCTGGCAGGAAGCCTTTCCATAATGTCTCCATCCTTCCCCTGCTCCTGGAACATTCTGATGGGGGGCAGCACTTTGCTATTGGTTCTTTATTTCTCTGCAGGTAATGACTGCCTAGGAGCAAGAGCCCCACCTTCTACATGTTATATGCAACTTGGTGTTGGGCAGAGCTCCTTGCCCTCTGCAGGGGATCAAGAACTTTGTCACAGGTACAGGGGTGGAACCCAAGCTTGCCCAATAACTGTGTGTGGGACCTCATTGAGTAGGCCAATTAATGATTTGGGCTCTCAGCATCCTTATCTAAAAATCGAAGAGGTTGGGTGCTCTCTAGGCACCTTCTAGTTCTCAAGTTTGTGAATCCAACAGTTCTGCTTTTTGGGAGACTGTGGTGGAATGCCACCTCTGGAGTCAGGAAATTCTGTATTTGAACCCAACTCTGCTACCAGCTGGGTGACCTGGGCGAGTCCCTCCACCTCCCTGGGGGAAAAAATTTAAGGTTTGCAACTTCCTGGTGAGGAATGTAAGACATTTAGGCAAAGAATCTGGCCCACAGCAGGCATGAAACAAACACAGGTTTAATACCTGAGACTAGCAGTAATAGTACACTAGCACTAGATGTCTCCAAGACTAGAAGTTCTAAATACACACAATGATGTTGGTAAAAGCATCTCTGGTTTTAGGCACCTACTATGGCCAGGCTCTAGGCTTGATGTTGAGGACAAAAGATGCTTAAATATACTGAGAAACCTGGATAATAACAGATGGGTATAATTAATTAGGATGAAAATGCAACAGATTGCTTTTTATTTGGGCTGCCTTCTTCGGAAAGCCAATAACACAAGGCAAAAGAGAAAATAGTCCTGAAAAGTAGGGACAGTTTTATGGAGAGCAAAGCCAGAAAAATGTACTTCTAAGTATTTGAACCAGGCTTTATAAGGCTGGTCCTGGCCTAGACCCTCACTAATCTGGTGAAGCTGCATGTGCTGGTGTGTGACTCTGTGTGTATGTGGGGGGGGGTGGTTTGGGGGGTGACTATGTGGGTGTGGGTGTGTGAGTGACTCTGTGTGTGTGTGTGTGTGCATGCATGCACGCACATGCTTATGCACTTGCCTCTTGCCAGCAAACACTCCCAGGTCTCGCAGTCGTGCTCACATGCTCAGATGGCAATAGCATCAGCATCTGTCATCTTTTTACACCAAGAACAGTCAAGTACATTGATGTAAAAAGAAAACACATCCCTCCATCAGCTCTGGGTAAAAGGCAGATGCCAAATAACTATGTTTCTAGAGTCGGGAACACTGTCTGCATCTTGCAGGTGATAATGGTAAAAGCTTCTCTCACCCCTAAATACAGGGACTCAGTTGGCATAAAGGGGTGGATTTTCCCAGCACGGTGCCCTTAAATGGCCGCTACCTGCCAGAAAAAGGCATGGGAGGCACTGTGTCAATTGAGCTGTTATTTGTACCCTGTTTGGTCCCCTAGTTGGGTCCAGCCCTGGAATATAAATATGGGCTAGAGGCAGCAGGCCACAAATGGTCTCCAGATACAGAAGGTCTGGGCACTGCAATCCACGTTTTGGGACTGAGCTGATGAGGATTACGTGTGGGTCTGCAACCCTCCCCGTGCTCTATCTCTGCAAAGCGTGAAAATCCATTGTGAATCTTGTGCTTTGGGGACTTTGTATGACTGAGTAATATTTGGAGACATTATTTTATTTGTTTTATCTTCACTGTCTCTGATTTTCCTTTTGCTCTTTGCCCCATTCTCACAGGCCATTTACTCTGCGCTTCATCAGCACAGATAAGGTATGTGGCAGGCAGAAAGCAGAGGTTCCTGTCAAGAATACCTGGCTCTTTCTTTGTAAGCTCTTACAGAGAGTCTATGGGTTTGTGGAAGAACTAAAGGGATGAAGGGTATTCAGTGGCAGAGGCAGAGTGACCTAGAGAAGCAGAAGGGAGAGTGGGGCTCACCTATGCCCTCCCCACAGTCCACAAGGACCTGGGCTACAGGAAGAGAAAGGTGGAGTACAGGCACCCTGGCGCAGTGGGGATCAGCCTGGCTTCCCTGTAGCATCCTGACAAGGGCCCAAACCCTCAGAAAGGAATTCTTGTGTGGTGTCTCACCAGATAGGGCCACAGGTGATGTTGCCTAAGGGTCTAAGCAGATAGGGATGATGGGCATCTCCAGTGTAACCTAGGTGTACCCAGAACCAAAGACCAAATGTCCCTACTCATCACCAACTCATCCATCCAGGCTTAACCCTGAGGACGAATAAGGACAAGTCTCACAACAGCCCTTGGGTAAGGGAGATGCTAAAATAAAAATTGGGCTGATTTCTATAAAATAAAGGATACAGTATTCTTTTGCACACCTGAGTTTGTGAGCTGGCATTCCTACCTACTACATATGGTTGCCTAACATTTTCCAGATTAGCAATTGGTCTTTATTGTCTGTTTAGAGGCTGCTCTAGGAAACTCTGAGGTCTCCTCTTCACACATGAAGAGGAAGCCTAACAGGAGCTCCAACAGTTGTCCTGGGACTGTGAGAGTCGTGTGAGCTCCTCTCTGATGGGTGATGTGCTGTTTCTTCCCTTTCATGAGGTGTTGGCTTTGGTTGGTCGGTCCGAACTGTGTATCCTGAAGGCACAATAAATCTCCAATTGGCATCATTTCATCCAATTTCTGTTGCTTTCTCCTTTGGCTTAATATATTTGGTTCCTGTGATATCAGGACAGTGCAGGTAACAGGGTGGGGTGGGCCTAGTTCTTGAGGACTGCTGTCTCTAGAAGATAGGACTTGGGAACCAACTGTCTGTCTGCAGCCCTCTCCCCTTCCTCCCTTCCTCTTTCCTTCCTCCCTTCCTTCCTCCCTTCCATCCTTTTTCTGTTCCTCCTTCCTTCCTTTCTTCTTTCCTCTATTCCTCCTTCACTCTCGTCTTTCCTGCTTTTCTATTTTCCTCTTTTCATGTTCATCCACTGCCTGCAATAGATCACGTCTTGTGTTCAGTGCTGGCAACACAATGGTGAGCAAATTGGACATAATTTGTGCCTGTATGGAGTTGATGTTTTACTGGGGGAAATAAAGATATGTGAAAAGGCGATTATAGTCCTATATCATGAATGCTCATATGTAGCACTCAGTGCTGAGAATCTCACAGAAGGGGCAGCAAACCTATTTAGAGGAGGGGTGGGAACCAGGAAAGTCTTCCTAGAGGAAATATTTACTAAATAAACACTAACCGGGTTTAAGGAGTAGCAGGTAGGTAAGAGTGTCAGGAAAGAGGGAGTGGCAGAGCTGGGAAGAGAGGGAAGGGATGAAGTGTTAGAGGAGTGTTATTTAAAAAAATATATATTTAATAAACCTAGTGCTCACTATACCCAACCTTATGGAGTAGATGATATTGTTACCTGCGTTTTACAGATAGGGAATCTGAGGCACGTATAGGTGAAGAAACTTGCCCAAGTAGTTCAGTGTGGCTGCCCCCGCCTCAGAGTGATCTCCTGTACCATGGCTTTACAGGCACTGTTGGGTCAGGAAAGCCAAAATCCCACATAGCAAGAATCTAGAAATGAAGTTCAATAGATTGACTGCCAAGATGGCGCCTCGGTGGAGAACCAGGGTCCTCTGGTCACGATCACTGAACACTGCTCTGTCCTAGGGTCCCAGGCCCAACCAGAGTCAATTCTCTTCAAAAATCCCCTTTGCTCCAAGCATTTCTGTTTTCCTCGAAATCTTATTTATGTCCATTGTTTCCTGAGCAAGGATTTTCCACTGAAAGGATTTAAAAGGGAAACTGCCCAAATTATCATACACTTTGAGTAAAATGTTTCTTAAAAACAATCCTTAAGTTGAAGATACATCATGATCTTCTCATGAATTAATTAAATAAAGCAGAGTTCCAAGAATGATAACCAACTTGAAGATAATTTATCTTTCAGATTTGGTAATGATGGCACCCCACCCCCGATAGTTACCCACTTCATTTGACTGCTTTTGTTTCATAGCTCCACTCCCTGTCCCCTCTATTTTTTGGTTGACATTCTCTTGCTTTGCAATTTCCCTGACATTTATTTGCTTTACTTGATAAGGTTTGGTGAGACGAGGACATATCCAAAAATAAAATCTTGCAAATAATATTTGGGTAATTTTTTAATATTATGATCATATGCCTCTCTTGGAATTTTGTACCTAAGGTACTTGTAAGGAGGATCATGCCAGCAAAGTTTGCATGAAGCTGAGTCATGCTGTGTACGTCCTACTCTTCTCAACTATTTATAAGAGAGAATTTGGTTTCTAATGACCATCCTGAGACTTGAAGTCTCAGAAGGCAACTGAGAATTAGACTACAGGGTGCCCTTTGATGTGATAATAAGCATTCATTCATTCATTTATTCATTCACTCAGCATTTTTGAGTGCCAACCATATGCCAGTCCAAACTGTGCTTGACCCGCCATCAACAGACTAACAAGTACAAAGACACACAAGCCCTAAAATAGATGTGTGTGAAGAGCTGTCTGCAAGTGTTGGCAATGCTTTTTCAGAGGAAAGGAACTTTGGGCTGGCCCTTGAAAGGGAATAAAAGGCAGCAGAAAATTCCAGGTAAAGGGAACATGAAAAGACATGGAGATATAGTAAGGATGGTAGCAGGTTATGCGATACTTAGAAACTGTGGTCGCCAGCTTCAGAGATGGGCTTCAGTGATCCTCATCTCCGATATTCATGTCCTTGTGTAGTCCCTGCCCACGTTGAAGTAAAGCTGGCCTGTGTGGCTAGTAGCACACTGTAGAATTAATGGCACATGACCGACAAGTTTAGTCATAAAAGACACTGTACTTCCACCTTGATCTTTTGGATTGCTCATTCTAAGGGAAGTCTGTCGCCATATTGTGGGGACCCTGTGGAGAGCACCATGAGGGGAGGAAATATGGTCTCCCACCAACAGCCAAAACTAACTTGCCAGCTCTGAGAGTGGGCCACGTTGGAGGGAGTAGATCCTCCAGTCTCAGTCAAGGTTTCAGATGACTGCAGTCCCAGCTGACCTCTAACTGCAACTTTCTAAGGGGCTCTGAGCCAGAATTGCCAAGCCAAGCTGCTCCTGAGTTCATATCATACAGAAATTATAAGGTAATAAATAATTAAGTCGCTAAGTTTGGGGATGATTTGTGGCACAACACTAGATAGGCAAAATAAAACACTTCAGTCTATTTCAACCCCACCGGTAGTTCACACTCTTCTCCCTCACTGGTTGACCCTAAACACTAGTACCATGGAGTATTCATAAGTTGTGAGCCTTTGGACCATTCCTGGGATGATTCTGCCTGGACGCTCTGTGCCTAAAAAAGTTTCCAGCTTTGTATCCCCTGAGAATCAGCCCCATTTGTGTCATGTGTCTATTCCTCCTTTGTTCCAAATTTTATAAGAGAAGCAAACTACTTCAGAAAATTTCATCTCTTTTTTACCCTCACTCGTGACTTGGATAAGCAATGATACCCAGAGGCTGAGTAAAAAAAAAAAAAGAGAGAGAGAAGGAACTATGGCTATGACTTACCTGTAGAGTGGAAACTCTACTCTGAATCACCAAGAAGGAATTAAGGAATCTGTGCAGGGCATGGTAGTTAAATCCTAGTGCTTCTGCTTCCTGTGCATTCCTGTGCTGTGTCCATTGGCATTCCTGCCTGGAGCCTCAAACAGAGTGTCTAAGGACTGTGGTAGTCCAAGCAGCAGTGGTTCCCAAGACAGACTCCTAGGTAATAGCCTGATGGACTTCAGCCTGCTTGCTGCTGCTCCTACACAGCTGTACCTACCTGGTATTCTGTGATTGTTGCTCCTTTCCTCTGCCTCTTTCTGGCCTCTCCAAGATATGTCTACTCCCACCAGGTCAGGCCCAGACCCGGCCCCATTTATCCCTAAAGCCAGTTCCAACCAGAACAGAAATCCTACTAGAGCTCCCAGTGTACAAGCTCATGAAGTCTGGCATGAGATCTGTCATGCGGGGGTGAGCTCTGGGTATGCTTGAAGCCACTATGATGCATCAATCACCCTTTTCTCCTTGCCCTATACCATTCTAGTTCTCACGACTGGGCTTATGCCTCAGTTTCCCTAACAAGCCCTCTTGATCTCTACTTAGACTAGAGCTCTGTTCTGTACCTTGGAAGTATGCAAGGTCACCATGTTGCTGCCTAGCTCTCAATAACCACTTTCTCTCCTTGATGACTAGATGCTGTAGCCTATCATCTGTTTCACAAACCCTTGTCTTGTAAACAGAAGAAATACTACCTGGAACCACGATCTGGCCATCTGCCTGAACTCTTTCTATGCCATATACCACCCACTGGACAGAATTCTCCTCAGGAACAAGAATTGCCTGGGTCGCATTTGAGCTTATCAAAATTTTTAGACACTGGACAAGATCATCCCCACCCTCCCAGGTTTCCTTGCTGGTCCCAAATACACATTCTTCCTTTTGCTACGTATTTCTCAAACAAGCCTCCCCAATGCCCTGCACTGGCACTTCATGAGCGACAGCATCTTGACTTCTTCAGTTCCTTTGGGAAAGAAGAGAATTGGATGAAGGTTTCATTCTCCCTCTCTTACCTTACTATGTAAGGAGGGGTTTGTTATCAAGACCTGTCTTGGGGAAGACGAAGCAAGAGTAGAGGTAAGAAACTGCAGAGACCCTCTGAACCCTGGTGAGGGGCTGTGGAACCAGGCTTGTTAGCGGCATATGCCCTTGCTGTCTGTCCTGGGACGAGGATGGTTCCAGAGCTCTAGAGAATTCTAGTTCTGTGGTGGGCCAAGCCATGGCGAGGGAGTAAGGCAGATTTTACTTCCCCCACAATCTCCAATTGCACTTCTTTGCAAGCCACTCAAAACAAACATAACAACTCCATGAAAGTAGTATTATGGAAACATGACTTCAAGACAAGTTCCCTGGCCTTTGAAAGGTCAGTTTGTGGTTCTCCAACCAAGAACCCCAAGCATCTCTTGGCGAACCCACTACTCCAATCCTTCTTTCCTCCTTCAAGAAAATGAGTACTCCAGTTTCACTCTGCCTGGAATCCATGACTTTACCTGAGGAATTCTTCGTTTGCCAAGATCCGCCTCAAAAGTCATCTCCTTTATAAAACCGTCACCAATCTGCGTCTTGGCCTCTTCCTTGAGGCTTCCACAGACCGTCTTTCATATCTCTATGGTGGTGCTTTTTACATTTGATTTTAATTATTTTTCCTACAGAATTATATTTATAAGCTCGTTAATTCATGGAGGGTGGGCTTCACGCCTTATTCAATTTTGTAACTGCCGCAGTTTGCAAGTGCCTCAGTACACGGTAGGTGCTCAGTTTTTAAACTGGTAATTGATGCTTGGCAGGTTAAATTAAACAGCACTCTCGTGGCTTCTGAGAGGCGGTGTGAATTTTTCCTGTCACCCACATGCTGCCTCTCACCCCTGTCACTTGGCTCATTCAGTCCCTGAACCTGGAGTGTCTCACTCCTTCCTTATTTGTCTGGCTAACTCTTGCTCATCATTTAAGACTCGGTTTAGGTATCATCCACCAATTTAGGAAGCTGTCCTTGACCCTTCCAGGTTGTTTTAGGCAATTCCTTCTAGAAATTTCCATAGAACCCTGTCAGCAAACTTCTAATGCTACAGTATGTTGGCCTAGGTTATCCATATGTGACTGCCTTCTTCATGAGACTGTGAGCCTCTGTGTAGCAATTTCCAACACACAGTTAAGTAACGAGGAAATGTTTATGAGATGAATGAATGAATGAGTAGACGCTTTTTTCTAACGACCACATATGACCCCTACTGTTAAAATTCTAGGAAAACCTGCCCTCTAGGAGGACCATTATCTAGTGGCAATTTTGCAGAGCTCTGATCCTCCAGACCTCCCGATTAGAAACCACAAAAGAAGCTGAAGGTAGAACAGCATTCTTTATAGAACGCTCACTCCTGTCTTTCAGCTCCTGCATCACAATTCTAATCTTGAATTTAGAATGAGGTGACTAGAATGAATTGTGTCACATGCTGCCTGCATTCTATTGTAGCTCAATTATAATTTATGGTTCGCTTTGGTCGTCAGGGGCCATTATCGGAACCAAATGCCATGGCCTTGTTATGGCACCTGCACTCATCCATCTTGCACAAATGGACAGTCAGACGCTAAGGGCCTGTTGAGAAGGCCATTCCCAAGCTGTGCAGGTTAATGCTGATCTCTGATTAGTCCCAGATTATGTCTCTGGACTGACGTTATAATTTGCATTCCCCATTTAGGGAAAAGATGACAACACAAGCTGTTACAGGATTTGCATAATTTTTTTAACCTTCTCAGTTTGTTTCAATATCTTTCTCACATTCCTCTGAGACTAAGACAATTTCTTCCTCTTTTATCACATTGGTTTTTCCTCTTTTCAAAAATCTGGCTATAATTGGTTATCAATCTCTATTGTGCCCTGAATTTTATTGTCATTTTAAAATGGGATTACTTGTGAGGTTTTTTACGTCTCTAATAACAAAAATGAGATTTTTTTAAATAAAAAACCACTTTACTGAGGTATGATTGACATATAAAGAGCTGAATATATTTTATGCATAGAACTTGATGAATTTGGGGCTAAGTGTACATCCGTGAAACCATCACTACCATCAAGGCCATACACATACCCATCACTTCCCAAATTTTCCTCCTGCCACAAAAATGAGATTTATGGACTATCTAATAACATACAGAGATGTTACATTTATTTAAAATACCAGTTCTGTATTCACAGAGAGGAAAAAATATCATTTAATTAAGAAATAGTCTCTGAGAGTTGTTTGTTCTCTGTAAACATTAACAGATGATTTGGAATTTACATTTTGCAAACTGTTGTTCCTTACTAAGAAGCTTTGCCATCTAAAAAGCATTTCCTGTTCTGTTTTCAGTTAAAATGTTGCAGTCTGGGTCTCTACTCATGATAAGCACTTTCAAATCACATTAAACATGTTCCATGTGGCCTTGTTTGAGTGTAAGGGGTGGAGGCTAACCTCAGAGTAGCTCAGGTAAATGAAGCTTTATTTTGCTTGGCAGGGAGCTCAGCATCATTGCACCTCATGAGAACAGGACTGGAACTCACTCAACTGCACAGTCTCCCTCTCATGGCACCTGGTTCTCACTGCACATCTGCTAAGTGCTTCTCTCTCTCCGGGCTGGCATCTTCTTCCTCTGCTCTTCTTCTTTCATGTTATACACATACACTTTGAATTGCCATGTCCTCAACTCAACATCCTGAGTTTGATTTACTATCTACCTTTGCTTCTAACTCAGTTTCTTAATTGCCTATATCCAAATTCCCAAGAATGGAACCTGAGCAGCCCAGCCTGTCTTTCTGAGCCAGACCTCCCAAGTCATTAGCCAGCTTATACATGCCTCTCTTTGCGTAAGATGTTTAGCCTTGCTCCAATCAGCTGTAACAACAGTGGGCAGTCATATAATATAAGCATGAGCTAATTAGGCAGAGGGGCTGAAGGTGGCTAAGTGCATTATGACAGGGTATGGCTGAAGTATAAATTTATCCTTAGCATTTGTTAGGCATGAAAGCAATGTTTGGGCCCACATAGTTTTTCTACATAGTGAACCAGGACAGATGTAGTCATCATTTGCCATGACCTTCAAAGCCTTAAGATCCTACCACCAAATGGTCTCAAGAGATTCGCCTAGAAGAAACAGAACTGGAACCCCAGTGCTGACTTCCTGCCAATCCCAATAACTTGCTTGAAAGTGACAGAAGTGTGTTTCAAATTAGCTTAAGCCAGAAGAGGGTTTGATGCCGACATAAACCAATTACAGGAAGAAAGGGGCTACGGTTGACCCCAGAAACCCCTGGATCAGGGCTTGGTTGCTCTCTGTCTGCCAAGATTCTGTGCGTCCACCTCTAACCTCTGCATCTCTGCGCATTGGCTTCATTGCTCTCCGCCCAGCTGACTTGATGTGGGGAATTTGTTCTACCACATCCTTGAAAATTCACAGAGATGAAAGGGGATTTTAAAAATCTTGACGAAGGATTCTGATTGACTCAGCTTAGTTGCATACTGTGTTAGTCAAAGTTCTTGAGAGAAACAGGACAAGTAGGATACATATTTATATATACATATTAAGAGATTTAATTTAGGGAATTGGCTCACCTGATTGTGGGGACTGGCAAGTCTGAAATTTGTAAGGTAGGCTGGCAGGCTGGAAACTCCAGCAGGAATTAATACTGCAGTCTTGGGGCAAGGTTTTTTCTCTGGGAAATCCTGGATTTTGCTCTTAAAGTCTTCAACGGATTCAATGAAGCCCACCCACGTTGTCAAAGGTAATCCTCACTCAGAGTAAGCTGATTTTAGATGTTGATCATATCTGCAAAATACCTTCATAGCAACATATAGATTAGCGTTCGATCAAATAATTAGGTACTATAAGCTAGCCAAGTTGACACGGAAAACTAATCATTGCACATGCTTACCCCTTGGTCAAATTAATGGAGCAACAAAGGAATTGGGTACTATGATCAGAAAAATTTGGATCATTTGCCTATCCATATGATCATAGTTGGGTACTCAATCAACAGAAATTAGATTAGTACAGATATGAATACCTGTAAACCCATAAACCCCCTCATTGTTCTATCCATGGGTACCTGAGATAGTTTAGAAGCTGGGCCAGAAGATGGACTAGAACTCTTTCCTCGTCAGTTCCTGGACTCAGTCTCAACAATACCACATGGACAGGAGGTGCCACATGGATGGACAGTGCCACACAGATGGGAAGTGAGAACAAGGGAATGCTTGCTTTACTCAATTTGTAATGGCAACGCAATCTCAACATGCATTTTTCTTTTGCTTCTCATAGTCCTCAAGGGTCAATAAAATGTGCAGGAGAGACAACACAAATACATTCATAACATGAAGTGTTTATTATTAATAGATAACGCATACATTAATAATCAACAAAAACTAAACACTGCTGCAATTTCCAAACAGCGTGTGATTCATGCTATCTTCTCCATCTCAGAGTTATACATTACTAATTCATTCAAAGGATGTATTTTGAGTGCTAGTGTATGATGGAGATTATTCTAGGTCTGGAAACATGGTTGTGGTGAACAAGGCAGTTAAGATCCTGCTTTCACTGAGTTTGCATTCGGTGGGTTGAGAGGAGACAGGTAAAAGAATGAGCAAACACATAAATGCCTAAGATAGTCATGGCAGTTGTATTAGTCAGAGTTCTCCAAAGAAACAGAACCAATAGGAGATATGGATGTATGTATAGACATAGACATATGGATATATAGATATATATAAGATGAAATTTATTATGGAAATTGGCTCATGTGATTAGGGAGGTCCCTTGATCCACAGTCTGCAAGTTAGAAAACCAGGAAAGGTGGTGTAATTCAGTTTGAGTCTGAAAGCCTGAGAACCAGCAGCACTGGTATCCAAGGGCAGGAGAAGATAGATGTTCCAGCTCAAGCAAAGAGGGCAAATTCACCTTTCCTTCTCTTTTTCCTTCTATTTAGAACAATAGATTGAATGATGTCCACTCACATTAGTGAGGGCCATCTTCTTTACTCAGTCTATCAATTCAAATACTAATCTCTTCTGGAAACACCCTCAGAGACACACCCCAAAATAATATTTCACCAGCTATATGAGCATCTCTTAGCCCAGTCAAGTTGACACATAAAATTAACCATTACAGTAGTGAAAA